ATACCAAGAAGAAAGACTTAGAAAACTCTACTGACAGAAAAAAGAGACGACTTTGACCGTAGGCAGAATAACAGAGTGTAGAGAAGTGACTATCGTGTACTCATTTTTATGCTTTCCCTAGTCTTCCTATGGAAAAGGAAACTATATTTGGAAGTCAAAAAAGAACGAATTTAATAGAGATAGTTCAACCGAAGATTCTTGAAAGTGGAGTCTTCCACTTCGTCAAATGAAATGCGGAGTAGTTTCGTGCTTGATATATTTGCTAAGGTCTATTCTTCTCTTTGAATTTTCGATCTAAATTACTTCCTCTGAGTTTTCTTACGTTTTCCTCGTGTTTGACACCTGAAAAGGATGGACAATTAAAATCAAATCCGGTTGCATCTCTCTTCTTCTCGTAAAAAGCATTCTTTTTTATGGTTTTTTACTCTAGTTTAATACTCTTGGAAAAGTGACAATATATAGCCGCTGTAAAAATTATAGTCGAAAAAATGTATAAAATTTGTATATTTTTTTTATATATATATACATTCTGTATGTTATATACAAATTTTATACACTTTTTCGACTACCAGATATAAATAATTTCTGTCGCGGGCTAAAAGTGATAATAAGGTTAAGGACTAAGGACTAGAGTGACATGTGTTCTCCTTTTCTCAATGACTTGTATTCTTGTTTTCACCATTTTTATTCTACTTTCTATAAAACAATAATAGGTAGGAGATTAAGGACTAGAGTTAAACTATGGAAAAAGATGCTTTTATAAGAAGAGGAGAAATGCATTTGCAATATGGATGTGTCTTAGCATTTGATTTTATTTAGCGGGTGAATTTTTATTTTTAGCAGGTTAGACTGGCTGTTTGTGTGAATTTTTTATGTTTTTCTTGGGTATTAATTATTTTATTTGGTCTAAATATATAAAAAAAATTATATTGACTGCCACATCATATTTTTTCACCAAAAAGTTTGATAATTTTGGTTGAGTGATCATTTGTGTGTAATAGAAATAGTTGAGTGACTTTCTTGTTACAAATGAAAGAAAAGTGACGTTAGTCTATAATTTTGGATTGTTGAATGATCAGCTGAGTTATGGACTACGCGATGAATAGAAAAATTTATTTGTTTACTGATTAAATCGAAGAATGCGAGACATGTACATTTCTATTCATATATCTAGACAAAGATTTATCAATAAGCATGGTTATGTGATATCTACTCTTACTTTAATTTGTAACTATTAAAAATTAAAATTCTAAGTTTGGAATAATACCGAGTGCAAATATATTTTACTTGAACTGACTTAGCTTTTGCAGGGGTATATATCTATAATGTAAGAAATTGAAATAGGTTTCTAGGAACTGTGTTTTCTTCTTTTGTTTATTTAATCTTTTCTAGATTTCTAGAGTGAAAATAGACCCGTAAATAGTATAGGAGAAAACAGTACAAGAATTGAGGAAAATATATGGGACTGAGAGCGGCAAAATTTAGACAACAACTCAAAACACAATGTAACTCATCATATATATAATTCTATTCATCACTGTAAAAGAAAAGAGGAATAAATTGCTTCTAAGTTGATTATAAAATATAAGAAACAATTTTATGGGCAAGGATATGTAAAATCTTGGAGAACAATGGGCGTGTTTGGTATAACGGAAAATGTTTTCCAAGAAAATATATTTTCTTGGAAAACAAGTAGTAATCTTATTTATTTTTCTGTGTTTGGTACGTAAATTAAGGAAAATAACTTCTCAAGAGTATTCATAAATAATTTAGATACAATAAACATGAAGTCATAAACTTTCGAACCAACAACCTTTCGAACCCACAAATTTCATAAACTTTCGAACCGCTAAACTTTCGAAATCGTGAAATTTCGAACCCGTAAACTTTATAATTTCTAAACCCATAAACTTCCAAACACATAAACCTCCGAACTCATAACTTTGGAACTTGTAAAATTTCAAACCTGTAAACTGAAAGATGAAAAAACTAAAACTGAAAATATATTAAAAAAATATTTTTTTTCCCGAGAGGGGCAAAGGCGGCAGCGGGGGAGGGGGGTGCAGAAAAATAAAAAAATAAAAATTTAAAATTACAAAAAAAAAAAGTTAAAAAAAAATTGTGCGGGGTGAGAGGGCAGTGGGGTGAGAGGTGGGTGGTGCAGAAAAACGAAAAAACAGAAATTTGAAATTACAAAAAAAAAAGTAAAAATATTTTTTTTTACGGGGGTGTAGGGTGGGTGGTGACGGAAAAAATAACTAAAATTTGAAAAGAAAAAAAAAGCTTTTTTGGAGAGAGGGATGGGGTTAGGTGGGTGGGTGAGGGTGAGAAGGTTGAGAAGGAGTTTTGAAAAATATTTTTCCTTCTCTTGATAAGGAAAATATTTTGGAGGAAAATGAGTTCATAAGAAAAATATTTTCCAAAACAATTAAACCAACAAAACATAAAAAAAATTCCAATATGTCATGCAATTGAAATGAACGTATTAACATGAGTTTTATCCGGAGCTTAGAATCTACAACAAAGACAAACAGCCTCAGCTCCTAACATAAACAAAGGACGTAGCAACAAAATGCACTCTATTTATTTACCGCACTAATCATGACAACATATGATATATTTATCTGACTTTAACTTCTTTATTATACTTACAATATATAGTTATTTTTTACATAATCATATATGAGTGACGTACATCAAACAAGTAATTGCCTATACCAAATCTAATAGTTTAATAAATAGAAGATTAAGCTAAAGAGTGTACGGGAAGAAGAAAATAGCAGACTGGGGTATGAGGGGACCATTGATCGTTTGCTGTAGTTTTTATGAATTAACTTGAAGTCTTGAATGAATGCATCAGCAGCATATTCGTGAAAGAGTGAAAACAAAATTGAGCGTGCACATACTATCAAGTTTCACCTTTTGTTTTTGATTAACTTTTTTAAGAATACAAATACCAGTTATCATAAATTAATCATGGATTGAGCTCAATCCATCTTGACTCAACTCATCTCAGCTCATCTAAAGTTGAACCGATTTTTAGCCCAATGATCCATGAGCAACTTTGCAAAATATTTTTAAAATAATTTTCTTTTTGTTTGATATGTTATATAAGTCCATAACAAAAGAAGAAGTTTTTTTTTATTTGGTAATTAAACAATTGATAAGAAAACAATACACATTAATTAAAAGCTTGGTAAGAGCTGAGCGGGTTGGGCTATGACCCAAATTTTAGCCTATTTTGATCCCGCTCATCTCAGCCTAAGTAACTTTTGGGTGGGTCATTGACCCACTTTTTTATTGACTCACCCCATTTTGACCTGCTCAAAAACTGTCCAACCCGTACATTTGATGATAAATATATCACATGCTGTGATGATTAGTTGTGATAAATGGAAGGACAAATCCATGATTGTTCGTAATTTGAATTTTATTATTGCAAAATAAAGACCAGCACGCTTCAGTCTTAAAAATCTTTTGCGCTTACACTCAACGATTTTCTTTGTTGCACTCACTTGTTTCTCACCTTCTCTCTTGCAATTCTTTCTTAATCACACACTTTTGGCTTTGTTTGCACTCACTTCTTACTTGAGGACACACAACTCAAATGGACCTCCTCTGCTTATAGGTGGTGATGGAAGAATTTAGTGGAAGTAATATTCTAAACTATACCTTTCATTTATTTCTAGAGTTACTCTTAATTTCTACAATAGTTCTAGACTTCTCAGTCTGTAATGTGTTGAGTGATGCGTCATATGTAACCAATCCAGGTCATAAAACAGTTTAAAAAATTAGTACATCCAATTAGCAATATCTTTCTTTACTTAAAAAAATATGAAAACGGACACACTTCTATCCTACGGCCTACACACAACTTAATCTTTTTGACATGTTGATTTGGGCTTATAACCCTCTTGTGACCCGTTACATATTTACATAAGAAAGACACACACGCGCGCGCACACATGATAAAAATGGAACACAACGGACGCAAACATGTGAATATGGTTAACTAATTACTTAAAAAAACACAAGTTTTTCTAGTTCAAGCAGATGTATGACCAAAGTTGGTCAAGTTCTAGCAAGTTACAGCATCATTAAGTAAAATATTAGGTTGAATACACCCTGCAGAAAAATGAAGGATGTTGGATTAGAAATTGAACAAAGAAAGAGCAAAAAGAAAAAAAATCAAAGCTCCACAATAATGAACAAACGATGACTAGTTTCTAAATAAATCGGGGAAAGCAAAGAAGGAACTGTAACTGTTTATGAACCATTATCCTGTCAACAGCTAATAAAGAACTGCATCTTCTATTAGTACAGCATCTAAAAAAGGACGAGGCATTGGAGGAGTCATCAGAAACAAACAGTACACATAAGGGAGTGGCAAATATAGGCTTTGCAGAAATTCAAAGCATGGTAACAAACATATATCTTAGCTAAACTCCTAACTCTACAACAAAGGTTGAAAAAAGGCATTGGAAAAGAAAGTAACTTCCTATATTAATAAATGTAGATTCTAAAGAAATCTTAAAGATGATTGAAATAGGAAATGACAGTAGCAGATAGTATAACAAAGAAGGAACTAATTAAGCTAAGATACATATATGATAAAACTTTTGTATATCATGAATCCCACCCTGTTTTGTACAAGATATATTATTGTGCTATTTCTTTGTATATAGGGAAAGAAATCACCTAACTTTTTTGCCATTACTGGGATTTGAGCACATCTCCCATGATTTTTATCCCACTTTATTGACCGTAAGGCCACAAACATTAATTGCATATAAATTTGTCAATTACCAGGATCAATGATCATAGGACTTTGGAAGTTTATAATTTGCATTATCTTTTTGAGTAAGGGGATTCAGTAATTTAACCTTCAAATCCTCATTTTGCAGAGTTTTGAAGTTTAGTAAACAAAGAAGTCAAAACAACGTCAATCAAAATATAACGTACTAGGTTGAAACCTAGTAAACAATACTACAAAGTTGAAGTCACTTACTTGAAACTCCATTCATTTCCAGTAAGGTGTCATGTTCAGTATTGACCTGGGAATTCGTCTCACTTTGGTCTTTACCATTGTCTGCTTCAGCATTGACCTGAGAATTTTTCACATTGTAGTCTTTTACACCATTCTCTGCTACGGAATTGACCTGTGAATTTTTCAAACTCTGGTCTGTTTTACCATGGTCGGCTTCTTTATTAACCTGGGAGTTTTTCCCATTATTGTCTTTTTCACCATTGTCTGCTTCCTTCTCCAGTGATTTCTTACTCCTAGGAGCTATAACAAGAACACAAATAAACTTATCATGCAATGCAATTTCAAAGGCTTTAAAATACACCAATTTGTGCTACTTTTCACTTTTTATGAATGATTACCTGTAATGTTATTTTTAAGTGACTTGATTACGCTGTAGTTAAACTCACAATTAAATCCAATAGAAAAGAGACCACTCTTACCTCGTGGTGATACATTTCCAGCAAGTTGAACCTCAATGTTGCAATCTTGGTGATTCCCTTCATGAGAAACAGATTTGTCAGACCCACAATCACTATCATTGCTACATTTCACGTCAATCTGGTTCTCAACGTCAGAGTTATAAGCACCATTTGATAAAGCCTTGTAAGAACCCCCGTTATCCACTCCATTAGACGCTGAGGCGTAGCAGTTGACTTGACATCTAGGCGCATTTGATAAAGCCTCGTAAGAATCGCTTTTTTGCACTCCATTAGGCGTTGAAGCGTTGCAGTTGACTTGACATCTAGGCGCATTTGATAAAGCCTCATAAGAATCGCTTTTTTGCACTCCATTAGGCGATGAGGCGTTGCAGTTGACTTGACATCTAGGCTCATTTGATAAAGCCTCGTAAGAATCGCTTTTTTGCACTCCATTAGGCGTTGAGCCGTAGCAGTTGACTGGACATCTAGCCGCATTTGGTAAAGTCTCGTTAGAACCCTTGTTATCCACTCCATTAGGCGCTGAGGCATAGCAGTTGACTGGACACCTAGGCGTATTTGATAAAGCCTCGTAAGAACCCCCATTGTCCACTCCATTAGGCGTTGAGGCGTAGTAGTTAACTGGATGTCTAGGAGTATAGCACTGTATCTGTGCAGGCTGTGAGACCGATATATTTGTGTCCGAATAATTAAACGGAAAACTCTGACGAGGTACCATAGCAGGATTGACCAAATAGTAATTATAATTAGGAGCATAAATCTCATTAGTATTCAAAACTGGCACCAATACATAGCCTGAGTTTGTAGGATAAGAACTGTAAGTGCAAGTATCCATAACTCTCTTTTCCTTTGGCATGGCTTTCTTTATCTCAACAAATTTATTATTCAACATGTGAAATCTCCTCTGTAACACATTTGTTACAGCTTCCTCTGAATCATAGGTGATAAACCCAAATCCCCTAGGCGTATTGGTTTCTCTATCATAGATAATTTTTGCATCTTCAATTCTTCCAAATCGCTCAAAATATTGTTTAAAATCTTTCTCTGATAAATACTGAGGCAATCCCCCAACAAAAATCTTCTTCCTGTGACTTTTGCTAGTCTGTTGGCATTCTGAACAACGCTGGCTTTGAGACTTTTCACCTTTGGGTCTTGCCAAGGAAACATCAACCTAGAATAATCACCGTATAGAAAGTAGATAAGATAAAAGTAGTCAAAAGCAGAAACATATTGTAAAAGAGAGAGCATAGAGTAGAAAGAATATTAATGCAATATGGCCAATCGATGAGATTTTAATATCCTTGAATAGTCTTCATCCCACCATGATAGCGATAAGGTCTGCGTACTATCTTTCCCAGACCCCACTTGTGAGATTATACTGTATTGTTGTTGTTGTTGCAGTCTTCATCCCTAAGTTAGATAATGATGCAATAGTTCATGCGAACACTTGCAAAATAAAACACCTAATTTTCGTGTGAATTTAGGCATATATAGACTCCCTTTGAATTGTACGAGGATCAAAACACCTAATTCTCGTGTGAATTTAGGCATATATAGATTCTTCAAGTTTATTACAATAAAATTCACATATTTAAAAACTACATGAAAAGTACTCTAAGTCGACAAAGTTGATTTAATTCAGTTATAATGTTAGTTTCACTTTCAATACTATATAACTAATCCGTCATTGTTCGTGTAATTAATGTTTGTGAATTATTGAGATATCTGTTACATCCACAAGTATTGCTGAGAGAAGCAAAAACTGCGCATTCATATATGGTTGCAGATAAAACAACCACATAAACAAAATCACATGACGAACTAGAGCATAATTAAGCCACAAAACAGGAGAATAAAAGAAAAGGAAAGAATGAAATTTTTACGCACTAACAGTATATCAATATATTTTTTACACCACATCCGCGCACTTTTTGTGACATAAAAAATAAGACAAGTAATCTACTATATATAACGTGAAAAAAATACACTGCATGTGGATATAATTAAGTTAAATCGGAAAAGAAAAGCAGTGCAGTGCATTACCGTTCTACCAAGAATGATATGTTGGTCTTGAAGAAGCTTATCAAAAACAGAAGAATCAGTAAAGGTAACAAAACCAAAGCCTTTTCCAAAACCTGTTTCCCAAACTTTAGGTATTTCTGACTTGACCACTTCTCCATAGCGACTAAAGTGTTTTTTAAGTGTCTCTTCAGTTGTTTCCCACGATATTCCACCAACAAAAATCTTCCCTTGTTTCACAGTATTCTCCATTAATGCTTGATCAAAACAATATAATATTTCTCAAACTGTAAAAACGAAAAGTTAAAAACTTCTGTGCACTAACTCTGCAAGCAAGATAAGAGGGTTGAGAAAAAAAGGGGATATTGTCCTTTGTTTTTGAGTTTGTTCTGAATTATAGTTAGTAGGAGTACATTATTACTCTTCGCTCATTAATGGGGAATTGGAGTTTGGTTTGGAGTGTATAATTAATTTATACTTGTATTTGCACTCTCCGAATATTATGAGGAAACCCGCTAATTACAGGAGTTATTTTTGGGCCTATATCCTTATAACCCTAGATTTCCGTTTGTTTACACTTTCTTTTCTTCCTCCTTTTTCTCCCCTATGTACTAAAAAATTACTCCCTCTTAAGTAAAAGCGAGTTCTTCTTCTAGGAAGGTAAATTTCCATTAGTACATACGGTAAAATTACTATGATTTAAAATTTTAATTTTTTATATGTATTCAAAATATATTATTTTATTTCTTTAGAAAAATAAAATCTATAGAGTTTTTCTTAAAAGTTACATACGGTGTACTACAGATAATAATGTTTCATTCATGATTAAACATATCGAAAACTGTTTTAAGAATATTAAAACATTGAACTCTTCAAATTATAGTGTCATATAAGTAGAAGAGAGGTATATATGAACAGTCTAATAGTGTCTATGGTAATTAAGGTATCAACTATTGTTTGTTTCTTTCATTTATCATGTGCACTGTGATGTGTGGGTTTTTTTCTTCCAAAACAAGAGGTAATATTATTAACTAATATCACGAGGAGACCCGTCAATTAAAAATTCACTCGCATATATCAGGGTCATGGTTAAGTATAAATTAAGGTAAGAATGTGCATTTAATTAACTATAATTTAGTGGTGATCATGTTTGTGAAGATATGTGTTATGTATTTAATATGTTAGGTAATTCAAAAATAGAAAGAATATAAATAAAGGCGCATGCGCAGGAAGGGGCATGCGAAGGCCTTTCGGAGATTGACCTTTCTTTCTCTTCTTCTCGGTCTGATCGGTCGAGCTCTCGTAATCGATCGCTCATATGTGTCCATTTCGTTCTGGCTAGCGCTCACACTACAAAAATAATTGGAATTAGTTACAAACGTCGTTGCTAATTTGTCGCTAAAAGAATTTCTTGATAATCCGTTGCTAATCTATCGCTAAATAAGATTAGCGACGGATTTTTCTGTTTAGCTACAGAATTTGTCCGTCGCTAAAACCTGATTTTTAGTAGTGTCATCTCCAACTCTATTTCCAATCTTTCATTTAATATATCATTCCCGTATGCACCACCCGGTGCAACTAATTAAGTATTTAGAGGAAATAATACAAAGTGGCTATTTGGACCAATTTAATTATCCGGTTTTGCCCATCGAAAACTGTTTTAAGAATATTAAAACATTCAACTCTTCAAATCATAGTGTCATATAAGTAGAATAGAGGTATATATGAACAGTCTAATGGTGTCTATGGTAATAAGGTATCAACTATTGTTTGTTTCTTTCATTTATCTTATGCAGTAATGCACTGTGATGTGTGGTTTTTTTGTCTTCCACAAAACAAAGAAGTAATATTATTAACTAGTATCATGAGGAGACCCGTCAATTAAAAATTTACTAGTATCATGAGAAGTAATATTATTAACTAGTATCAGGGTCATAATAAAGTGATAAATTAATATGAGAATGTGTATTAATTAATTATATGATAATCATGTTTGTGAAGATAGATATTTAGAGTTAACTATATATTAACTACAGTATATATTATGTAGTTTTTTTTATGTTAGCGTAACCATCCGATGCCGACAGATATTTAGAGGAAATAACGTAAAGTGGCTATTTGGAGCAATTTAGTTACCCGGTTTTGCCCATCATAGACTTCGTTGCAAACATTGCCTTCTCCTTTCAACAATAAATTTGAAAATCCCATAACTTTTCTCTTCTCATGCATTGTGAAACTAAACCCCATTGCTTTTTGGATTACAAATTTCTTCACCATTTCACATCGTTTTCTTATTATATTTTGTCTTATTTTGGAACTGATTTGAGTTACTTGGTATCCCAATTTTTCAAAAATATATGGTGATTGTATATAATTGCATATGTAATCATAATTGTTGCAGGAATTGTATTACAAATGTATGATAATAGTATATTCATTGTATATTGTTACGAGCAATAGTGAGTTCGTGACGAATTTCACGGTTTGTATCACAAATATATGATAATTGTATATTAATTTATTAGTATTGTATCAGGATTTTTTGGGTATTAATGTGCAGGATATAAGTTAGATACAAGTATGATACAATTATGTTTTATGATTGATATATCTGATACAATTAAAATACAATTATGATACAATTATCATACAATTCCTGAATATTTCTTCATTTTCAGTGTTGTCCAGTCTCCCAACAAAAGAATGATACAATTGACGATTTTTTAATAATATAAAGTTGTCAGCAATGGTGGGAAGAGAGAAGAAGGAGATTCTTGGCGTAGATTAAGGGATTTTGATGTAAAAGAAAAAAGGAGAGAGAAGAGGAAAGCGAAAAAAAAAAAGAAAAGAAAATAATGTAATTGAATCCCTTAATTGAAGGCACTAACAACGGGGTGGGAGCCTTTTAACGAGTAATGTATACAATCTGTAAGAAAAATCTAGATACTTATTAAGAACTACAAAACATAGAGAATATAGATAAATAAATTTCTAATATAGTGTAGCTTGGTAAAATCCCTAAATTTGAGGAATTTTCAGAAACCATTGTTTAGTGATATTAACTTCCTATAGCTACTATATACATAATTACTTCCTATAGCTACTATTCAGTTGTTACAGTAATGTATTTGTTGTATTCGAAAGTTGCCTAAAAACAGGGGGTTACAGCTGTACGCAACTGCATTCACATGTATTCGCACCATGTATTCATGAATACAACAACGACAATCACCTTAAAAATAGGTCTGTCCAGCTGTCTAATAACGAAAATAGAATCAATTAGCGTGATACACTCCTAATATAACTCAACAAAATCAATTCTAACACGCCTCATTATCAACCCAATTAATTAGAATGATTTTTCAGACGCTAAACACAAACCTACTGCCTGTATTCAGTTGTATATAACTGTAGTATTTACCTGTTGTATTTAGTGTGTTTCAATAGTTGTTTTTTACTGTTGCATTCAATAGATTCAACGTTTGTATTTACTGTATTCACTATTTTGTATTCAGTGTATTCAAATGTATTTGTATTAATAATATTTTAGTTATTCCTAATACATATTATTATTGCTGCATTCAGTATATTTCATTGGTTGTATTCAGTGTATTTCTATTAGTATTCAGTATATTTTACTGTATTTCACTATATTTTAAAATTAAATATATTCACTGTTTATATTTTGTTATATTTCAATGATAGTATACAGTGTATTTCAATATTTATATCATGTATTCATGCATATTGTATGTACAATATGTATGAATACAGGCATACTCAGCTGTATTAAAAAAATACAAATCTTCAAAATACATAAATACAGGCAAAAAATAATGTATTTATACAAAACAATAATGTACTTGAGTGAATTTGTACAGAATACAATGTATTTGTATTTTGCTATAAAATATAAAAAGTAGCTATAGAAAATATTAAAATGGTTTTGGTTTATAATAAATATGGTGTATATCTTTGCTATAGGAGGTAAAATTTCCTAATGTTTATTGAGGTATTATCACTTTTAACCCGCACCAGAAACTATTTACATTCGATAACCGAAAAAGTGTATAAAGTTTGAATAATTTTTATATATAACATATAGAATGTAAATATATACAAAACATATATATTTTTCGACTATTATCAGTGTTATTTTCCCATGTTTTATTGTCTATTACATTACCAGTCCGCTTTTATTTAAGGAAAATTGTATTATGACATTTCGATACTTTTTATACCTCAAGTGTTTTACAATTCAATTCAATAAGGGCAAATATATAGACGGCCCCTTAGACTTGGCTCCAGTTTCCATTTTGACACCTTAATTTAGCTTTTTTTCTATTAAATATTTTAATTCTATTTTGGTGTATACCATTTAATCACAACGCATGTCCGGCCAAAGGAGCGTTATGTCCACACATGATAAGCGCGTGAATGTTATTAATATTTGCTTAGGTGGATATTCTAACGGTAAAAATAAAACCCACCCGTTAGATCCACTTTCAACACCCGATTTTCTCATTTTTTTCTCTCAAGAATGCCCTAATTCCTCTTTCGTCCTCTTCCTTTGCAAATTCGCCATTTTTCCCTTCTACTGAAGCTTAGGTGCCCAAGCTTGAATCTTGATCTGATTTCTTCCTCATCTTTCTCGTTTATCAGTTCCATGTCACAAAAATCAATAACTTCTCGCAATGGAATGAAAATTTATCACTGACTATATCATGGTCATCTGCAAACCCAGGTCGCAGATTTTATGGTTGTAAATTGGTAAGTCGATCATATTGTTTTTGTTAGATCCTTGAATTTCTTAATAAAGAAATCTGTTTTTAATTTTTTTGGCCGTATTTCCTTTTGAATTTTGTAGGGTCGAGATCGCTGCAAATATTTCAGATGGAATGATGATGAAATGCCTGACCAAACTAAGAGGGTTATACGGGGTCTGTTGAAGAGAGTCGAAAGAACTGAGAAAATAGTTGCGTAGTTGAAGTGGTTATTTGTCGTGGTGGTGGTGCTATTTCTATGGATTTGGCTTTGGTGATGCTGGCGGTTTGAAGAACAATGTAGTATTTTTATGATATGCTGGTGCTAATAGTGTTGTAGTTNGTGGTGGTGGTGCTGTTTCTATGGATTTGGCTTTGGTGATGCTGGTGGTTTGAAGAACAATGTAGTATTTTTATGATATGCTGGTGCTAATAGTGTTGTAGTTGCTGCTATTAGTTCAAGAAAAATGTAGTATGTTGGAAGTAGGTACTAGGAATTTGGCCTTTTGTTAATGTACACTATCTTGTTATGAATGAAATGGAAATGACCAATTTTTAATGTAAATTTAAGTTCAGCTGCACTTCCATAATGTGTTATGAATGAAATGCAAATTCATATTCATGAATTGAAAACATAACTGCCTAAACATTCCATTACATAATGTGATGGACTAACATTACATCCAAGCTCAAAAATAGAGCATTGTTTTGGTCTACAAATTACAAAAAATAGAGCATTGTTTTCCCAAACATATAACTGTCCAAACTAGTAAACTCTAATAGAGCATAACTGCCCAAACAAAAAACTGGTAGTGACATCTTAGATAACATAAATAAAAATGGGTCTACTTCACAGTGTAGATACAGCTGAACTTGTTTGACTTGAAGAACCTTTTTTCCTTGCTGCACTCATTTGCTGAAGTTGTGACCTTGTCACTGTATTTCTTCCTTTAAACTTCAATCTGGGAGGCTTAAATCCAATGTCTATGTTAGTTGCAGATGTATCCTTGAATGTCCCTGCTGATATGACTCTCTCAGATAATATACCAGGCTGTAAAATACAATGAATTAGTAAAAAATAGAACAATTCCAGCCCACAAAACTGCATTATAATAAACTATACACCCTTACATTCAGGATAGTAGTTCCAGACATAGTGTCAGTGAAAATCCCAAAACCAGTATGCCTTGGCCTTTTATGTCCAATGGTTGCTGCATTAGCCAAGCCTCCTCCTAGTGTAGTCCCTTTTCCTTTTTCCTTACCTAGTCCATGGCCTCTTCCTCTTCCTCTTCCTCTTCCTCTTCTTCTTCCTCTTCTTCTTCCTCTACTAAGCCCAGTTGATTGATTGTTGCTTTGTCTTTTGACAACACTTGTATCCTCACATATAGAGGATGGATTGCTTTATTGAGATGGTATTTCCTGAGATGATCTTGGTGGAGGTGGTGGCATATTGACTTTGTTGAGTAGCACTTCTTGAAACATGCTGACAAAAGTAAAAGAAAAGAATATCAGAATTGCAAAAAAAAAATGTAAAAGACAGAATTACAAATATCATAACTTACCCCTTTCCTGCATCCAGATTTGTTATGTCATGTTTGTTGGCAGTTTGAACAAGTCATCTTTACCCCTTTCTTTGATAGTTTACCATGTTTTTTTCTTGGTTCATCCTTGGCTTTTCTCCTACATCTCTTTGGTCTACCTGGCATAGGTTTAGGTTCTGGAGGCTCTATAGATGGATTTTTTGAATCCGACTACATCTTCATGTTGAGAATTGGTTGAATGATATGCTGGTAAGCTTTAAGGAAAGTTTCCTTCCTATACCAGTGGGCAACATAATCATCTGGGTCCATTTCTCTATCATAGAATGCACATACTGCATGTTGACATGGAATGCCCCTCAACATCCATGATCTAGAAGTACATGTCATGGTCCTAAAATCAACAATGAATCTGTACACACCTTTATCAACTCCAAACCCATGTTCTGCATTTCACATAACCTTACACCTCCTAGAAAGGGTTTTGTTCTCTTCCAGTATCATCCTAGCCATTGGTGCAATGTCAATGACATCACACTTTAAATCTTCTCTAAAGTATGCCCTACACCAATACTCTTTATCATACTTCAACAAGTCTTCACATATCTTATAACCAAGCTTATTCATTGCTTCCAGTTCTTCCTTGAATTTTACTTCATAAGATGCTTTGGCACATCTCCAGAATAGTTTCCTCCTTTCTTCACCTCTCCAGTTCTTGGACCAGTTAGACCAAATGTGTCTAGCACACATTCTGTGCTCTGCCATTGGTAGTAATTCCCTTGTAGTTGGTACTAGTCCCTACAAAAAATAGTAATAATTGTTAGTGGACAGTATATATAAAGCAGGAAAAAAAAAATTAAAAGTTGATTGTAACTTTACCTTTTGCATATCTGACATAACAGTTAAGCCAAGACCATCTCCTAACTGTAAATCCGCAATCAAATATGTAATGAACCAGCTCCATGAGTGTTTTGTCTCTTGATCAACTACAGCCCATGCAATAGGAAACATTTGATTGTTCCCATTTCTACCAACTGCAACAAGTAACTCACCCTTGCAGATTCCCTTTAGAAAACAGCCATCAAATCCTATAATCCTTCTGCACCCTTCTAACCATCCTCTTTTCAAAGCATCTAAACATAGATAGAAATAGACAAACAGATTCTTGCCAGGAATAGTCTCACTATCTGTTCTGATCCAGCATGAACTCCCAGGATTTGTTTGCTTAATAAGCCAAGAGGCTCTCAGTTTTCTCGACGCCTACTCCGTGTATAACCAAATATGGATGAACCCAGATGATCAGGAAAAAACTTCCTTTATCACTAAATACGGCACATACTGCTATACCGTAATGCCATTTGGATTAAAAAACGCCGGTGACACTTAACAACGCCTAGTAAATCGAATGTTCGAAGAACAAATAGGCAAATCAATGGAGGTTTACATTGACGATATGTTGGTTAAATCCCTATGATTAGAGGACCATTTAAAATACTTGCAGGAAACCTTCAACGTATTAAAGAGATACAACATGAAAGTGAACCCGAAAAAGTGTGCGTTCGGAGTTGGATCGGGTAAATTCCTCGGATTCATGGTATCCAACCGGAAAATCGAGATCAACCCTGATAAGATCAAATCCATCGAAGATATCACGGTCATAGATAACGTAAAGGTCGGGCAAAGGCTAACCGGACGCATAGCCGCTCTGGGGTGATTCATCTCAAGGTCCTCCGATAAGAGTCATCAATTCTTCTTATTATTGAAGAAAAAGAGTAACTTCTCGTGGACTCTGGAATGCCAACGGGCCTTGGAAGAGCTCAAACGATATCTATCGAGCACACCGCTGCTCCACACACAAAAGATAGACGGACTGTTATACCTTTACTTGTGGGTCTCGGAGATAGTGGTAAGTGGAGTCCTAGTACGGGAAGAAAAAGGTACGCAATTTTCAATTTACTATGTTAGCAAAACTTTAGGTGAGGCCGAAACTATATACCCTCACCTAGAAAAATTGGCGCTTGCTTTGATAAGTGCCTCTAGGAAGTTGAAACTGTATTTTCAATGTCACCACATATGTGTTGTGACTACTTACCCATTAAGAAATATAATGCATAAGCCCGAACTCTCGGGAAGATTGGCCAAATGGGCCGTTGAGGTCAGCGGGTACGATATTGAGTATTGGCCCCGAACCGCCATTAAATCTCAAATTTTGGCAGACTTTGTGGCTGATTTTACGCCGACGATGGTACCCAAAGTCGAAAGAGAGATATTATTGAACTCGGGGACTTCTTCGGGGATCTGGGCCCTCTTTACATATGGTACCTCGAACGTGAAGAGGTCCGTACTTGGCATCGTGTTAAAACCACCAAAAGGTAATATAGTTAGACAATCTATTAGAACTATAAGACTCACTAACAATGAGGCAGAATATGAGCCCATGATTGTAGGTCTCGAATTAGCCAAAATTTTGGGGGCGGATTGAGCTCCTTCTGTTTGAACAAGTACTGCAAGCTCCGATGATCAGTGAATACCTCACACGATAAGCCATAAAGATAGTGCCTTCAAATCTTCAGCGCATGAACAATGACTGCCAATTCTAAGTCATGAACATGATAATGCTTCTCGTGAACTTTCAATTGCTACGACGCATATGCAATCACCTTGCCATCTTGCATCAATACTGCACCAAGCCCAATGTGAGATGCATCACAATACAATGTATAAGATCCTAAACCTGTGGGTAATACCAATATTGACGTCGTAGTCAAAGCAGTCTTGAGCTTCTGAAAGCTTAACTCACACTCGTTTGACCATCCAAATGGAACACTTTTCTAGGTCAGTTTGGTCTGCTATAGATGAAAACCCTTCCACGAACCGACGATAATAACATGCCAAACCCAGGAAACTCCGGATCTCTGTAACTGAAGTAAGTCTAGGCCAATTCTGAACAGCCTCAATCTTCTTAGGATCCACTTTTATGCCTTCTGCCGATACAACATGCAAAAAAAAGCAACTAATTTTAACCAAAACTCGCATATTGAAAATTTAGCATATAACTGATTATTCTTCAAAGTCTGAAGCACACTCCGAAGATGATGCTCATGCACCTCTCGACTGCTAGAGTAAATCATGATATCATCAATGAATACAACCACAAAATAATCCAAATAAGGCCTGAACACCCGATTCATCAAATTCATAAAATGTTGTTGGGGCATTTGTCAACCTAAATGACATCATTAGGAATTCGTAATGCCCATACCCAGTCCAAAAAATTATCTTAGGGACATCAGACTCCCTAATCTTCAACTGATGGTAACCAGACCTCATAGTTATTTATCCGAATTAACGAGTCACATTTAACGCCACCTGGGCGGGCACCCACCTCGTAGGTTAAAACTCAATAATTACAACACAAAGTTGGCTAGTATGCACAAAGAATTTCATACAAGAATTTTCAAATAAGCCTAACTGGCATGACTCCCTATTAGTACTATAGTACAGATTTCATTTCAAAAGGGATAACTTAAACACAAGAATTTACATCACAAGGATCTCGTCCTTATATAACTTCCACCGCAGCTCGTAGCCCGGTTTAAACATATCAATTTATATTAAAATGTGAGGATCTCGTCCTCAGTTATGAATCACAAGTAATATGCACATCGTGCCAATCGAAACTTTCCATTTTTCTCCTTTTAAATAATTTTCGTTAAACAAAATCACAACACATAATGGACCCCTCATCGATAGGGCATATAATCATAATTTGTAATTAATTATCCAAAAATTACATCAAAACTTACCGAAATGAGTAACAAAAAAACACATTTAGCCTCGCAGCTCTTATTAGTGACCAACATGGAAAGATAGGCGTAGTTATCTCCATAGAATCTCCCAACAGGAGCAAACACATAAGTAGAATATAGAATTACGAAGTTCATCATAAGTGGAGCACAATAGGAGGACTCGTCTCGATACTCGGAACCAAATCAAGTTAGGGAAATTATCCCTTTATATTAAATCGAGGTCGTACCTGTAATGACACTACATGATGTAGCGACCTCCGCCATACCATAAAACAAATGTATCAATGGCTGGGCCTCCACCTCTAAGACGCCTTCTACCCGCCTATCCTCCACCCCCAACTGGTCGTGTGGGTGGTGTAGTAACTACAATGTGGCACGTAGCCTGAATGCTTTGATGAAATATGTCTCCCCCAAGTCTGGGATAGTTTTCTCATGATGTGCCTAATATCACCGCATTCATAACAACCTCTTTGCGGGTTTGGTTCCTCATACTGAGTCTGTGCCAGATAACTGGAATAACCATTGTAAGAAACTCATGTCAGTGGTGCATTAAAAGAACTTACTGGACCACCCAGAGTAATCCGACGTGCGGACTGGGTTGGACGACTGCCCGAGCCCCCGCCATAATGATTCATACTTGTAGAGTATAATCCATTGAATCCTCCAGAACCTCGAGACCTCTTGGTCTCCTTAATTTCCTTTTTCCTCACCCCGAACACGTTCTAATATCTTGGAAATTTCTACCACTAGCGACAATGAAGTATCAGCCTATAGCTCCTGAGTCGTACAAAATTTTACGATCATAATTGAGTCCTTTAATGAGTCTGTGGACTCGCTCTCTGGCTGTAGGAATCAAACTAGGAGTATGATGGGCTAACTTATTGAACCTGATAGCATATTCTGACACCGTCATGGTGACCTGACGCATCCGTTCAAACCCTATGCACCACGCATTACGAAGAGTCCGAAAAAAAAACTCTTTCAAAAGCGTTTCTGATAACAGAGCCAAGTGGGCGGTGTTGCATTGGCTGGTTTGTCCTCTTCATAGGCTTGCCACGAACACCGGTGGAGAATTATCTCTCCCAAGGCCAATTTCTTCCTTTGTTATGCTGACTCAACACTGCTGAGCTGACCCATTTCTTAACAAACTCTTTGATTCTTCTTTGTGGTAACCCTTACCCCTATTTATACACAACGATCACAAACGTAGAGCTCCATACAGACAAATATTGGCACAAATCACATAGTCTGGAATCTCGTCAAACATTGTACTTCTTTCAAAGCACCCCAAAATCCGCAACTGTGACGTCCACGCTGAGTAGACCTTCTGTAAATTTAAAATTATTTCTCTAACACCTCTGGTACTGAAGTATAGGATTATTAAGGAGGCGGACATACCGCAAGTCCCAACCTTATCCTCTACAAAATCTCAGGCCTTAAACATGTGTATTTCCTTTTTGGGAATCTTTCAGTACCACATATATACATTTCAGGCCAAAATTGATATAACACATGACCCCGCAATCCATCCATTGATAGTGGACTCCCCCACTCGGCGCGAAGTCATAGTTCACCACGTCCGATGATCCACAATATTAACCTTCACAGCTTGTATAAATCAACCAGATGCCAAGGTCCGTTGTACCCCCCACATGATTCACTAGGTGATCTCTCAATACGTCTGCATCTTAAGTCGGAGCCACAAGTTGAGGCAGTGTTTGAGCATCTCTGGCTCCCTCGTAGTCCATCTGTGGAATCACGAACCGTCGACGCATAACTGATACTGAGTGTGCAAAGTCATACACGAATGGATACAAAGAAATATGAGATATATGTTTCAAGCTAAATCAACGTCGCACGATAAGGAATGAAAGAAGTGAAATTATTCCTAAACTCTGTAGCCTTTGGAAGATAAGTACAAACGTTTCCGTGCCGATCCTTCAGACTCTACTAAGTTTGCTCGTGACTCGTGAGACCTATGTAACCTATTGTTCTGATACCAACTGTCATGACCCGAAATTTCCACCTTCGGGACTGTGATGTCGCCTAACATTTCACTTGCTAAGCAAGGCAACGTTATAATATAACTAGCCATTTTAATAAAATTTTAAATTTATTTAATAACAAGAAAACAATGCGGAGATAAAGTGAATAATTCATAATAATCACGATATCTAAATATCATGCCAGAAGTGGAGTTTCAAGTGCACGAGCTTCTAGAATAATACAAACAAAGGTTTGAATAAAATTCACGCTGTTTGAAATATAATACACAACTGAGATAAGATAGAAGGGGACTTCAGAACTACGAACGCCGTGCAGTTATACCTCAAGTCTCCACTAGTAGTTGTATCCGAAAAAATCTACAGTACGCCACTGGGACCAACTCCGAAATCTGCACAAAAAGTGCAGAGTGTAGTATCAGTAGAACCGACCCCATGTACTGGTAAGTGCCGAGTCTAACCTCGACGAAATAGTGACGAGGCTAAGGCAGGTCGCTTACATTAACATGTACACAATAATTGATAATTGTGTACATAATAATAAGTAGTAAGACTGGTAAATAATATCAATAATTGAAGTCAATTTAGCAGTCACAATCTCTCAACTTGTTTCCATTGCGGCGTGCAACCCGATCCCCCAATGTAAACTTAGAATAAATTTGTTGCGGCATGCAATCTAATACCCCAATATAAACTTTTAAATAAATCTGTTGAGCGTGCAACCCGATCCTCCAATATAAACTTTTAAATAAATATGTTGCGGCGCACAACCCGATCCCCCAATATATTTAACAACTCTTAAATGTAATAAAAATACTCCAATAAATATCACGTTCAATGAGAAATTATTAAACATCAAGGCATACAATAAATATAATTTATTTATGAAACAAACATGACAAGTAGCAATTAATTATGGAAATCATGGAGAAAATAGGTAGTTTAATATGTAATATGCTAAATGTCAAGTAGCAATTAAGACACATAAATCAAATAAGCATGTAACAATTATTGCAGGAATTCAAGGCATAATATTGAGCATGAGCTATTAGAGAAACAATTAATATAATAATTAATTCATGTCTTTAAACAATTTATAATTTCAAATAATTATGCAAACAATTATTTTGACGACGTATAGACACTCGTCACCTCACCTATACGTCGTTCACATGAATTTCATATAACAAATCATTAAAGGGTTTTATTTCCTCAAGTCAAGGTTAACCACGACACTTACCTCGCTTTGTAACCAATTTCAAAAATCCAATAAACCTTTGCCTTGCGAATTCGTGTCTGAAATCCTCAAATCTAGTCATAAACAATTCAATATACTCAATACAAATCGCATGAATTAATTCTATATGAATTTACTAATTTTCCAAATTAAAATCCGAAATTCATCTAAAAAATAGACAGTGGGGTTCACGTCTCAAATCTCGGAAAACCTTACGAAATCCGAACACCCATTCCAATACGATATCAACCATACAAAACTTATCAAATTCCGATGTCAAATGGACCTTCAAATCTTAAATTTTTATTTTTGGAAAGTTTTACAAAAATTTTAATTTATTCCATCTAAATCCGAAATAAATGATGAATATAGACATGGATTTATGAAATATAATCACTTTTGATTATAGAATACTTACCAAATTCAAAGTCGTGAAAATCGCTTTGGAATCGGCTAAATCCGAGACTCAAAACTCAAAAATGAGTAAAATGGCTAACTCCCAATTTTTACATGTTCTGTCCAGCATTTCCGCTTCTGCGGAAACTTGACCGTATCTGCGGTTTTCGCTTTCTGCGAGCCCGCATCTGCGGTCTAAAATCCGCAGGTGTGGTTACACCAGAAGGCCAAAAGTTCAGATATTTCCTTAAGTCCAAATTTTGATCCGTTAACCATCCAGAATCCACCCGAGGCCCCCGGGACCTCAATCAAATATACCAACAAGTTCTAAAACATCATACGAACTTAGTCGAGACCTCAAATCATATCAAACAACGGAAAATTACAATTCACACATCGATTCGAACTTTTGAGTTTCAACATTTCCATTTTCAAAACTTGTGCTGAAACATGTTTAATGAATCCGGAATGACTTCAAATATTGCACATAAGTCATAAATGACATAACGGAGCTATTTCAATTTTCAGAATCGAATTCTGGTCCCGATATCAAAAAGTCAAATTCGTGGTCAAACTTTGAAAATCTTTAGCCTTTAAATTTCTAGTTTCCATTAAATTGTCATAACTTGAGCTAGGGACCTCCAATTTAAATTTTGGGCATACGCCCAAGTCCCAAATCACGAGAGAACCTACCGGAACTGTCAAAATACTGATGCGGGTCTCTTTGCTAAAAATGTTGACAAAAGTTAACTTAATTGAGTTTTAAGGCTATATTTCATATTTTAATCAATTTTTCACATAAAAAATTTTCCGAAAAATTATACGAACTGCGCACACAAGTTTAGAAATGATAAATAGTGCTTTTCGAGGTCTTATAACACAGAATTAATTATTAAATTTAAAGACGACCTTTTAGGTCATTACAGATGTATAGGCCTTCTAAACTCATGCTAAAAAGGAACAAGCAGTATTTTTTGATAACTCAAGAACAAGCTGTATCAACAGCTCCATATGAAGAAGCAAAAGCTTCTGTCCCCCAAACACAAAATGCAGCATTTAATACATACCTCATGATGTAAAGCAACTTCTGTAATCAGAAAACCTAACTAGGTAAAAGAACCAATGAAGAAGTGCAAATTCCATGCGGTGCTTCCCCAGACAAACATTGTATGAACGAAAAACATAAATATGTAGATTTTAAGAAAATGAAAATGTGACTATTGGCTTATAGCAGCAAGATAAATCGTAATAAGTTATACCCTTTACTTGGCACAATTTAGGAAGGATTCCCACCTAGATACGCTCATATGGATGGAGCATTGTTAAAGCTTAATCGACTAACTGACCGTGGTTCATAAAAGAGACAAGTAAAAATTGGATTAGTGAACCACCCTGAAAATCCAAATGCTTTTGGTGTTTCTGCTTTTGGTGTTTCTGCTTTAGGGAGTAGATGAAGCAAAAGAAAGAACTAGTATGATATGTACCTCTTCTTTCAGAAGATTATGTAGCTCGTATCTGCAATCAACTAGCCTTCTCAGATCAGAACTATCCACAACCCACACAGGGGCGGCCTAAGGGTCAAGCCACAAAAGCAAAGGCTTTAGGCCCTCAAATTTTTAGGCCGCCAAATTTTTTTTTATTTTTCTACTCGTATTTGTATTGAGATCCCGACTAGTCTAGATTCGTACCGCGTAAGACCTAGTAAAAGAGAACACGTTTTAACAGGATTTGTTTTAACCACAGGACTCGAACCCAATATATTTAATTAAGGTAAGTTGGATCAAATACACCTCACAACAATCTTTAGAGGCAGGGTCTAAATATAATGGGTATGTTAAAATAAAAAATAAAATATTTTATAAAAATTCAAGATAACTTTTAATTTAGCAGTGATGTAACCGTTTGAGCAAAAAAATGCAGAAAGAGAATCACTCCCCCTAAAACCTTGTCGCGAATATAAAACTTTTCATTATTTTAATTTTACGAGTGACATCATTAGTGATGTATCTATATGAATTTGGTTATATTATTTAAGATCAACAACATCTTAGGAGAGACTAAATTATTTATAAAAGAAACTATTAACAACTGATGTTAGGCCAAAATTCTATACTTTTAGCACATTACTCGCCTATATTTTGTTGGTTTAAGTGAGTTATTGTGCGACAATTGCGCTAAATTGTGTTATTCTATGTGTAAGAACATCAGAATGAATATCGATGTTATGATAAATTTTTTTTTCCTTCTGAAAGGCCCCAAATTAAAAATTAGTTTTACGCCACCAATCTTCTTGGGCCGCCCCAAAACCCACGCCAAGCCATCAGTTTGCTCAAAGTAGTTTCTCCAATAAGACCGTATTGCTTTCTGACCCCCAACATCCCATATATTGAGGGTATATCTGCAGAACGTCAGGTAAATTTCAGAAGAAGTCTCATTTTAGACGAGGACCAATCAGAAAGAATTTAAACGACTATAATGATCTAAGCACTGCAGATAACAATTTCAAAGCCTTGTTGCCTGGACTCTGGATTTCACTGAGGAAGCACAGAAGTTTTGACGTCTGGCAACATAAAACTAAGAATTCCACCTACTTTGCAAAACATAGTCAAACCCAAGTACAATAAAAAAGGAGGGTTGCAGGGGCTAGTGTAAAGATAATCTAACAACGACACAAAGGATTCATACAACTTACCCCAACTGATAAGGGATTAAAGTGTAGGATTAAAGTGTAGTTGATTAATTGATAGAATAAACCAAGGCCCTAAAAGGTAACTACTACAACAACAACAATCCAGTATAATCCCACTAGTTAGGTTTGGAGAGGATAGTGTGTACGCAAACCTTACCCCTACCATGAGGTAGAGAGACTGTTTCCGATAGACCCTCGGCTTCCTCTTTCCAAGAACTTTCCACCTTGCTCTTGGGGTGACTCGAACTCACAACCTTTTGATTGGAAGTACATGGTGCTTACCACTAGAACAACTCACTCTTGTCAGCCCTAAAAGGTAACTCACAAGGTAAAAATTAACTGAGAGTATGTCTTGGCTTTTCTTGAACGAATTTGATGATCATATGTTCTCTTGATATTCACCTGATTGTTTACCAATTTGGTGACTAATTTATGTGACCTTTTACGGGGTTTTTTAATTCCAATAGATCTTTTTTCTAGATTTTGTCCGTTTAAGTGACCAAATTCTAATTTGATGGAACAAAATAATCTAAAATGTTCGGCTAACCGCACTAACAACAATAAATAAGAACCATCATAATATTGAAGGAAGATAAAGGCTAGCGAATCTGAGAAACAAAATCGAAGAAAAAGAAACAGAGAAACCATACTTTCGATACGTGATGGTTTTGATGTTGAAGCCAAGAGTCGGACTGATAACACTTGTATCTTCCCCATTTATCTTTAAAACAATCCTTGTCTTACCAGAGTTGTGAAGACCCCTATAGAAAAAGTAGAATTAAACAAATAGTAAACAAAAAAATGATGCATACAGAATTCAATATGTCACACGTTAAGGGGTGTTAGCTTGAAAACTTACACCATAAGGATGCGCATTTCTTTTTCTTTTCGCTTGATCTTTCGAATAATGCTGAGAAGTCCCATTGTGTTGGCTCCTAGTTTCCTAGTAAAATTGCAACATTCATTAATAGAAGTTGACATGTAGTACGCAAAAAATAAGACTGCAAATTAATCTGTCACAGTGGTGATGTCCAACAATATGTTTTCGCTCATTTTATAATATGTAAGGGAAAGAAACCATAATGTGACAGTTAATTTTCTCCTCTAATTTTTCATATATGAAAAAGAAAAAGGCTAGTAGAAGTGCAGTCTTTTCAGTATATCCACTTAAATGCAAGCAAATGAAGAGCACAAATTAAAGCCAGGAAATTAGCGGAAAAGCTTGTTTAAGTTAACAATATTATATCCATCAAAATGCAAGAGAATATAGAACACGAAAAAAACGGTAATGAAACAAAGGGCTAATGGAAAACCCAGACAACTGAGGGAAAAAAGCTAAGGCAACTGTCCTAATTTTCTGAGCATTAAAACTCAAACACCAAATTAAATACTAAAACTCGAAAAATATGTAGCTTTATATGATGGAACAAACACAAGGCAAATCACCTGATTTTTAAGCAATAAGATTTTCTCCAATAACTTTTCTAGAACCAAATGGAAAACAAATACTGGAGAGACATCAGGCATTAGAAGGGAGGGAGAGGAAAATTTACCTTTTTAAAACTGAGACTTACAAACTCCAGTATTGCTTCGCGAGAGGAATGAGCGGAAACACTTCCCAAATTACAAGGAGCAAACTTTGGCCCAAAAAACAACAAGAAATAATGTACTCTCAACACTCAAATAATTTGGATTGATTCGATAGTTTTTCAATCGTAAATAGGAAAATTATATCACTTTTATCTACGACAAAAATAGCTAAAGAAAAGATAAAAACAAGAGAAAGATCGTTTATGTATTTTTCGCTCCAATTAGGTCACTGACAGGAAATAGAATAGCAGTAGAAGAAAGGGGGGAAATTTGAAACAAAGAAGAAGAAGAAGAAGAAAAAGAGCCAGCAAGGGCAGATGAAAACAAATGGCAAAAATCACGTATCTATTGACATTAAAACCTATAATTTGTTGTTAGGTATCTCTTCTCAAACTGTATAGGATTTTAGTATTGAGAGTCATTAACAATTTAAAAACTTCAAAAAACAAAGACAAAAACAGTATAATGGCTTGACCATTTGGGAGTTTAGAGGATGCTGAACTTAAAGGAAACTATGTAATAATCACCAATGGCACATATCATATGACAGATTGTAAATTGCTACTATTATAGTCATCTCACATCTGCAACTGCAAGTAAAGCCACAAGATACCTACAATGCAAAATGCCCCATTCTATCATCCAGTTGTCACATTCAACGAAAATAAGTAGTCAGTTCCAGTGCCTTGTACAATTCAATAAGGTTACACTAGCTCAAACTAATAAGAACGTAGACACACCACAATACATACGTTACAAGAAGGAATCACTACCTAAGTTAAAAATGCGTAGCATTTTACAACAAGTCTGGACACCTAGGGTCTCCACCCACTAGAAATTTACATTTTATTGTCATAGCCATTGGTACCACCTTCTCTGCCTAGCGGTTGTTTCTTTCTTTGGAGCTAGAGTAATCCTATCTGCATGAGCAACGGCCCATTCGCTAAAATCTGGGGAAGAAACAAGCTCTTCCATTGCCTTCTTTGTGGTGTCTCTAGTTAACTTATTCCACTCATCTTTTGAATGTTTCTTCCGTTCAGGAGTGTTGTGGAATGTAGAATAGAATGTATCTGTTTCTGATAACAAGCTTGACGGCTTGATAGGAGAACCTGCAGGAAAAACACATAAGAGAAGCTCCACCTTCAACTTTTCAGTTCATCTACTAATAAGTAACAGCTAATTTAGGCTAACCTCGGCTGATTGTGTCATTCCGATTTCTCTGGGAAATCCTGGAACCATATGACCCTTTTATCGGTGATGTGTATGAATCCTGAGATTCCCAGAGATAACTCGTGTCTATTTGTGATAAATTCCTGCTTTGCATGAAAACCGGAATGTGAAAATATGAAGCAACTGCAGAAGCAAAGGTCTGAAGAATTGGAAAAAAAAGAAGAAGGGAAGACTCACTTGCAAAAGCGTAGAACGTATTTGGGACGGATTAATTTCCTCAAGATTGAGGAAATCAACACTCCACATATCCATGCCTCCGCAGCCAATAAAGGATCCAGAGAACTCTGAAGAAAAAGTAAAGCTATGTAACTGTCCAATTAAACTCCAGTAAGGGCTATAGTCCAAAAAGTGTGAGAACTTTGGAGGACCAAATGGATCTGTAGTATTAAAAAAAAAGGACCTGAAGAATCAAGGCAGAAGCAAAAACTCGAATGGACCAACCGACAAACTGAGATACTCCGGTGTCAATGGATCCGTCTTCTGCAAGTACAAGTTTGTGAACAACCCAAAACCCCAACCAAGCTCCAGCAATTACGAGGAAAAGCAGCAGAAATATTGCCAACTGCAACAAAAGATCAGTCCATGTCATCCAAAATTCCATGGAAAGCAGAATTCTCAGTGCAGAAACCAAAAGCAGATCGCACTAATGAAAATTCAAATATTTTATCGTGAAATAACAGTAGGAGTTTGCAACATATGCTTTTCTGACATTAATTTCGGACATTTAACTAATAGACGCACTCAACATCAAGTGATGTGAGGATTTTCATTGGCATGAGAACCCTTAGCAAAAGGTTTTCCTAAAAGGTACCCAATATTGAACAACATGAGTGGACAAACCCTAACATTCCAAAGAGTAAGTCAACTAATAGAACCAACAATAAGAACTTACATACAGGGTTGTACATGTCTTCACCAATACCAATCTCGTTAAGTATTGAACGCAACAATTGAGGCACATAGCGTAGAAAGAAAGATCCTACACCAAGCTGAACAAAAAAAAATAGCAACATTTAATTATAAAATTTAAAAAGAATGGTATAAAGAATAAATGCTAAGAGTATACTTATACTAGGGAGAGATACCCACAATGGATGAATACAGGAATATTGCAAGTGAGCTCTTCCTACCAGTCGGAAGAAGCTTCATCCCCTGTCATCAGAAGTACCAAACTGTCAATCAGAAAATTTAAACATAGAAGCATGATATGCACCTAGGTGCATACATCTACACATGTCCATACATGGTATATAGCTGCTATGCACATCGCTCAAATAAAAAATATTGAACATGTACTTTTACTTTATTATGATTAGTCAACATTGTTGAGGATGACATACATCATTTGATTCATTTGTTAGTTGGAATAATGTTTCTACTGGTAGTGTTCAAAATTGTGAATCAGGCACCCTCAATTTCTTGACTGGCTCCAAGATCAAAACATTTTTAAAAAAATATGCTAAACAAATTTAAGACATGAAACTCTCTGAGCGGCTTTCCTTTGTAAGGTGATATCATGAAATTGGTTAACAATGTTAGCATTTTTGCTAGCTTTCTTCTTCTTCTTCTTCTTCTTCTTCTTCTTCTTCTTCTTCTTCTTCTTCTTCTTCTTTATGTTTTCCAGCCAACATTTGGGTGAACTTTTGCAAGTTCTAGATCCATCTTCTATTCACACATGATTAATTGTATGAGCACTACTGTGAAACTTCTATGGTGCTACTCATGCAATTTTTCGTTGCAAAACATTTCTCATTACAAGAAAAATAATTATCTCAGATACACAGTTAACAAAGTAGTTTAGCTTCTGAAATCAACTACAACAGTTTGCATTGTAGATTTGAACTACATGTCAAGATTTGAAACTGAAGTAACAATCCCAACAAGACCTTCAATGCTTCTTTAATATAAAAAACAGAGAGAAGCAGCAACCTAGCGCAGGGCTCCTCTTTGCACTCAGAAAAAGGGATATTTATATAAAAGTATGGATACTTCTTTGAGAATGCAAGGGTACGAAGTTACCTGGAAAAGAACCATCAGTACCACAAGAAAAACCCCTACTGCCATAGCACCACCATAGTAAAATACTAGAGACTTGCTAAGGAAGGATGCCAGAGTAACTAACAGTATTCCCAGTACCAGAAAAATGACACGATACCAACAAAACTCTGCAGAAAAGAATATTAAAGTCACTTAATAGAGTTAATGCTAAAGGAAAAAGAAAAACAAAAAAGAAGTCAATTTCAGATTGAAACATGGAGAACAAACCTTCATGCAGCGAAACCTGAAGAGTTTGCTTAGACGAGCTTGTCATTCTAATATCCAAGAACTTTTCATCGAAAGGTGACATAGATCTCACCCATGAACCCTTGGTTAGTTTCATCCATTGGCCTGGCGGACACATCCCAATTTCAAGGGATTGATTCCTGCAAAGTTGAAAAGGGCCCTCAATAACTTATAAACATACACATTATTTTAAGACATTAAAGATGAACTGGACCACCTATACCTATCAGACCTTCAAAAGGTATCTACCTCTTTAGCTGTCTTTTACAATCAGATGCTATTTCAGTTGGAGAGGTTTGATTTTTAGGAGCTCAAGAAGCATAAACTTTGAAGCAAAAGCAACTATCATTAGACAGGTCATACCAGTAGTTTTTTCTTTTTGGGCGATAAGTGGCTGATACTAGTAATTACTCACCAGTATTAGACATCAATATTAGCTTAGACATTGTACTACACAGCAGAAAGGACGGTCATAGGTTTAATTCCTGAGAGAAGTGTCCCTTCAACCATAAAGATCTTGCCTGTAATATAACCAGGTTCTTAAATATGTATCAGACCATTAAATATTTTATAAGGCAAACTGACACAACTTTAACAAGTAAAAACAAGTACACAGAAGGTGGGAGATTAATTAACATACGATGTGATTTAAAACAAAAATTAATCACGTATTTGTGTAAAGAGCTGGGTAGGATTAGAAGAAGGATGATAGACATAATATATATATATATATATATATATATATATAGAGAGAGAGAGAGAGAGAGAGAGAGATTATTGACAGAATCTTAATGCAATTAATGAAATTCTCTGATCTATAG